ATCATAAATTGAAATATTAAATTTTATCTGAAATTCTCCCTTAAATTTAAAGGCATTTTAATGTTCAGTAGCAATGTTTTGTCATTTTTTTGTTTCAATAGAATCAAAGTAGCTCAACTGGTGTTCATACAAGTCAATTCTAAGTTCTAGTAAATCACTCCTCTCTTGTTTTCTTTGGTTAATTTCCTCTCATTCCTTCAATATCCTACAACCAGCTATGTGTCAGCCTTTCACTCTTTTCCTTACTAATCACTGGAAACGACTCAAAAATGATTCTCAAAATTATATTTTCTGTTGTTCTATTTACACTTTCATAACATTTCAGTTGTTAATGCCGAATATACTTTCCTGATTTGAATGATTCTTGTTCATTTTCTCTCTTAGAAATACTATTTTTCTTTGTTATTTTATATATTATTGATACCCTAAATGATCTTTTAAAGAAAACATTCTGGTTGCTAGTAATTTTATTTTCTTTTTTCTTACATTTCGAAGTTTCTGCTCCATAAAAAAGAATACTTTCTACAACTGATTAATACTCGTATATTCCCTATTAACTTACTTTAGTTACCTTTTTAACCACCCAACATTCTATTTTTTATTTTTCTCTTAAATAACTAAATTCTGGGCATTCTCTAATATTCTTATTTCCCTACAGAAAAATCAAATATTTAACATTTTCACCATATCCGACAGTACAATCTTATTTATCCAAATTATGTATTCAAGAAATCAGAAAAAGCACTAACTCAAATGATTCAAGTTATACCTTATCGTCTTTGTTATATCAACAGCAAGTGATGTTAGATCCACTTCTTCACAGACCCCTAATATTTTGAATTGAAAAAAGGTATAGAAAACTGATAAATTTAAAAAACTACTAAGACACTTTTTATAACAAAATTATATTTGCAAAAATTTTAAAACTGATAATACATGATTAAACAAAAGTTCCTGGTTCTCAAACTGAGCCCAGATGCAAGTACGTTTAGCTTCTTGAGAAATTTGACACAAATTTAGTTCTCAATCCAAAATATAATCTCAATGTTCACATGCTCTTCATTGTTTTCACTAAAATAACAAAGGGAAAAAACAATTTAAAACAATCAAAGCATTGAATATTTTGATGGAAATAAAATTTGTACTACTAAATAAATTTAATATTGTATTAATTTTACTGTGTGGGCATGCATTTTTTTTTTCACAAAACTTTTGAGTCTCTAAAGCGATTGCTCCCAAATTTCGCGTGAATGCAGCCACAAAAAAATGAGGCAGTTTGTGATCTCAAAATGCGACCACAAATTTGGATATAGCCAAAAATTTGTGTTTTACTGGAAATGGAATTCTGGGTACTGTTGTCGGGTGGAGGTGGGCAGAGCAATACCAGATTACTTCAAATATATATAATATAAAGAATGATTTTTATATTACATATTTAGTATTCAAATCAGCAAAAGAACAAAAACAAGAAAAAATATTTCTTTTGTATTTGTGCAACTTATAATATGTTTTATTGGTGTGAACTAAATATTGAAATCATTTGAAGTTTTTATATTATTCATACTCCTATGATGATGATGATGATGATGATGATGATGATAATAATAATAATAGCTCATATTTATCTGCCATATTTGTCTGTCATATTCCATCATTGTTTTGTTTTAATTAGAGCAATGAAAAGGTTTTACAAATATTCAATATGTTACCAAATAATTGCTTTTGTATATTAACAAATTAATTTATTTGAACATTGTATTAATAACTATTACGAAGGACATATTTTTAAATAAAAAATATGTGAAAAATGTAATGGCAAAAATCTAAGCAGGCTCAAAATGATTAGAACATGAATTAGTGCAGAACAGTTTTGCCATCAGCTACATGACCTTTTGACTGCATGGATAAGATTTTATTGAAACAAAAAAACTGAAAAACAGAACTTTGAATTAGGCTTCAATAAGTCTAACCCCACCCAAAAGCTTTTAATTTAAATCAACAATTTAAAAAAATGGATAAAATTAATCATGATTTAAATAACCACCACCTAATGACTTCTCAGCATATAACCAATAATCTTCAGTTGAACCCAGAATAATAAAAAATATACAATAAAGTTTTCCTGAATAAAATAACTATTGCAAACAAAGAGAAAAAGTTCCACAGTGTAAACTGAAAAATGCTATAGAATTGCCATAAGAGATTCAAAAATATCAACAGCATTAACATGCATCAGAACAAAAATATTTATAGATAATGTATGATTATCAATAAATGAAAGAAAAGTGTTAATTTAAGATTTACAGATCGCAACAATGGGAAGAAATTGGAAGACTACAACAAACTAGTCATGTTCAACAGCACAAACACCTGCGCACTGTAAATTTTGCAATTTTCGTCAATCAGAGTGTTCAATGAATCATGCCATTTTTTAAACTCCCTTTGATCTACCAGATTAAAAATTTGTATCCAATAATTTTGGGTAATTTTTGTGTGAAATTTTTTGAAAATGTTAGGGATGTTTGTAAGTATCCCTAAAATGAAAATATTCGACGTTTTAAATTCGCAAGTTCGGCAGATCAATTGAGAAATATCGGTTTAGGTACTAGCGTCAACTAAATGAACGGACGAACGGACAATTTGCCGCAAACCAAATTTTCTATATCAAGAACACGCCAAATGTGAATTCTGACTACACACGATGTTAGGAGATGTAATTTACTACTTACATGGTAAAGAGTTTTCCATTATTTCGATAGTGCCTGAAGGCACCATACGCAATTTTTTAACGAAAAATCATCACTTACACTGCAGTATAACAATACTTAAAAACAAAAACATAGAAGGCGAGAAAGTAAAAGGGAAGAGAAAGAAAATATCATTTGAATTCAAGTGAATTAGAAAAAAATAGAACAGCACAAATATACTTGGCAATGTCTATACTCGGATCACATTAATTCCTTTCATAATGGACAAAATAAAAATTATTTTTAAAAAGTTCACCCTTTGGGTTAGAGACTGAAAACTCAAATATGTCTAGTGTCCAGAAGAGGATAATAGTAAATAAAAGAATTTCTCTCTCATGACTAAATCATTATAAATATAAAATTGTCTAAACACAGCAATCTGACCCTCCACAAATTTATGAAATTAAAATGTTTATATTACAATAAAAGATTCATACAATTTTTCAATGTTCATCTGCCTTTGCAAGAAATGTTCACCTCTATATTCAATGGCACTAACTTTGATTTTTGGCCTCAACAAGAGAGATGTTTTTCTCTCATTTAAATATACAAAAAAAAATAAGAATATGTTGCTTTTTGTACGACAAAAATGTGCTTTGGATAAAGCATTTGCTTTTGAGGGTAAAATTATTAGATTTTATTTTAGTTCTGCCAATTGTTCACTATTTGAGATACTTGTTCAATACCTTTAAAAAATTGAGAATAGTGAGCAAGCAAGCATTTTTAACCAATGAAGTTATGTAAGTTTTTTATTAGCGTTTATTTCTCAGGATTATTATGGTTAGCATTCAATCACAATTAGAGCTTGCTTTACTTGTTATCAAACTACTTACATGCTTAAGACAAAAATTAATATATCCAGAGCATTTTTGTAATGCAGATTGTGATATTAATCTGAGTACGTATTTAAGAACTTTTTTCAATCTTATCTCTCCACCAATTTGTTCAATTTTTGAAAATAACTAACAACCCTATTTTACATTAATCGGAGATGTAAACGGGGCACTATTCGAAGTTTCGCAACTTAGAATCTAGACACTGAGTTCCGCAACCCTTTTTATCCCGAGTTACATGTTATTGCAATAACGAAGTGTAAATATAATACGAAAATTGCAAAGGTGGAATAAGCCATTGAAAACGCGATGGCTCTCACGGAAATATGCCTCGAAGATGCTTTGTCAAGCACAAATTTCACAGGAAGTGTACGCGACGATGTTTGAATCCCGACCCTCACCGCATCCACCCCGTCTCTTGCTCCCCTGGGGAGGGAGACGAACGCGTTGGGCGCTGGACCATACAACACATCGAGTGGGCTATGTGCTACGCAATTATCGCTCTGTGTGGTTCTGTGAAAGAACTGTTGGCAAGCCCGTTCCTAATAGGATGCGTAATTTCTTTCATTTCCTTCCTTTCGTAGTAATTCCTAAACGCTTCAACCAATTCAACGTTGTAATAACATTCATATGAAACAAATCTGCAAAAACACTTGGAAGGATAATCGTACACGAAAATTAATCATTTGTTAAAACAAGTATACTAAAACTAACCAAATTGCGTTTTTATCATCAGAATGGCACGTGCTACATCGTGTTGCTTCGAGAAACGTATAAAAGAAAATGTATAAACGAAATAATAAAACTGCATTTTGTTTAAATGAATAAATCTAACTGATATTTGCGTACCTCATTCTGTTTCTACAATGCGATTTTGAAAATATGTATACCTGTTATTTTCATATTTTTTCCCCAGCAAAGAAATAGAAAAACTTAAAAACAATCAGAGGCGAAGACATAAAATGTCAAATAACTATCATTCATAAATACAATCAAAATATTATATTACAAAATGAAAAATTTCCGAAATAAAATAATTCTGCGAACTGTCAAGTGTCATGTGGCCTTGGTGCGCTTGTGCATATCCCACTCCCACCTCTTAAGGATATCCTCAATTTGCTCTAATTAATAAGCGAATGTGTTCGTACTGTGTACTTACCACATGAAACTGCTCACAAAAGAAATCGAAGGAAAATTCACGAATTATGGAAATGATATTCAAGAAGACCACTAATCCAAAGCTTGTCACAAAATTCAGAGTTTACCTCCAATGATGTTTTAGAGATCACACATCACAATGTAACATTTTATCATCACACACTACTTCATTCCAACCACTAAAGTCCATAGAAGTATAATATAATGAACATAACACCGCATTTATTTAGAAGAGACCAAAACTAACTAGAATTTCTCTCACCTGCTCTTGCTCCACAGTTAGAGCAGCAGCCATCTTGACCGTATCAGTCCTCAATAAACGCCGTGTAGTCTTCTTTTGTCATAACCGGAAGTATATCCGGTATATTCATATTTAAATATAAATTATAATAGGGATTTGGGAGTTGTCAATCATTGAATAGACAAATTTGTCTATTCAATGACAATTTCGGTAAATAACCTCCAAGAGCAAAAAACATTATTGAAAGATATGAGTCAAAATGAAATATTTTTCTGTACTATATATATATTACCAAATTTTTACTTCAGAAAATAAACAAAGCAGAAAAAAATTTTTCTCAATAAATTATACTAATTCAAAATTTAACTTAAAAAAATACTTTTTGGAAGTACATTTCAATATTTGAAGACTATCAATAAAATTCTTACATTAGATATTTAAAATTCTTCATTCATTAATTCATGTGAATTCCTCATTTAAAATTAAAGTAATATTTTTACCAAAACAAATCAAGATAGTGTCAAATCTTCAACTTTCATTTCCCAAATTCAAAAAACACTGAAAAAATTATTTACTTTTTGCTTACTAGGTACTATTTCAAAATAATGAAATCATAACCAGGGCATCACTGATCTATAAAGAGATCAGAAGATTGCACCAATAGAAATAACTTCAAATTATTAATATTTATGTTGTCTTCATGTTTGTTATTTCTAAATTTGTTTTACCTTTTTAACACTGCTGCTTTTCAGGTGTATATGGAATTGGGTTGGTATCATTTAGTAATATAAAATAAATTTTAACGCTAAATTTATCCATTCCTCACAATAAATTGTCCTCACCTATTGCATTTTGTATGAAGCTAATTACTGTTTGTTTCAGATACTTTAAAGTAATGATTAATATTAATGTTAATTTGTAAGAGTATTACAAAATTCTGAAGTATGGTGACTTTCATTTTTTTTTCAGATAGTAATTGCAATCATTAATGATTTTAACATATTTTATCAAATCTTTATGCAAGGAGTATCAACCAGTGACTAAAAAACTTTTTCTGATATTTTTAAAATAATATATTTTAGCTGTTTTTAACTTCATTTTGTATAAAGTTAAAATTCCTAAGAAACCATGAAGCCTTGGATTTTCTTTTTAACCATTTATTTTATGAGAACTTATTGAAGTTTATTTGTATGATTTGTGACTAAAGTTGCCACCGGTCTTAAATTTCTCACCTGGAGAATTTATATTACGCATTAACCGTGGAGGGGGTGGGATGAGGAAGGTGAAAAAAGTTTGTCAGGCAGTTTTGAAAAATTGTCTGGATATTAATATTTATTTTTATGTATAAAGATATATTTTTTTTAAGTTTAAAAACAAAATATATATTTTATATAATCACTAAAAAACATTAAAAATTAAATTAATTAAACATCAGATCCTTGCTGATATTACATGTGATAAATATTAATTAACATTTATGACATGTAATAATTACATATGGTAATGTATCAAACGAAGGATAATGATAGAATGAAATACACTGTTGATTAATTGACAAACATCAAAAACATTTGAGAAGGATATTTCTAATTAATGTTAAAAATATTTAGATTAACCTAATTTTACATTATTGTATTTGTAATTACTTATCTTTTCCAAAATAAAACAAGTTTAACTTATCATAATAAACAAAATTATTTTAAGATGAAATTGAGTAATTCTCAAAGGATTATGCTCCTCTGGCCATTTATATTCGTTAATCATCTCTTGATTCATAGAAATATTGATGGGGTATTCAGTTGTGTTTTGATTTGTTAACTTGATTGGCACATTTTAAATATTATGAAGTTATTATATTTATTGAACAGACAAACACATAAAAGATAAAACCAATACATTCAAGATTTGTAGGCAGCAGGTATCTGTATCTTCTAATTAGCATTGCTTAAAATTGAATGTGAATAATAAAAAAATGTGAAATGAATATGTTTGCTAAATTACATTTGCTTTTGAGATAGTGACTTTTTATGTATTCATGAACGCTCAATATAAGTAAGGGTATTAACATCTACTATATAGTAGTGTCAAAAACTATTCCACTTCAAGATAATGGAAATCTTGCCTTTTCTATAATTAGAAAAGTATAAGATATAGAAATTGACAAATCTGTTTGATTTGAACCAAAATAGTATTTGAAAGTGCCAATAGTAACTTGAATGAAAATATATCCTTTTGTTAATGATTAATTTTCTTTTAGTTGGAAAAGAGAGATGTAATATCTTCAGAATTTTCTGTGAATTATTTGTTACATTTTTTTGAAAAGCTGATATTATCTCTAAAGTAGTGAAATAACTCAGAGTTAATAAGAGCAAACCTGGGGGATGGAGATTATACTTAAAACCGGAAGTCTTTGGATCAAACCCGAAAAGGTGGCAACTCTATTTGTTTGTAACAGAGTTACATCATATAAAGCGGGAACAAGTCTTTAAAAATTGGTCTTAAAATCCATTGTTATATCAATATTTCTCTTTCCATACTAATAGAGTAATTCCAAGTATAAAATATAATTTTGACATTCAAACATATTCTTGTCAGCAATAGATAAGCCATGAATTTTGAGGGTTAATTTAGTAAGTAATATCTCCTGTTATTACTACTTCACTACTATGTTTCTTATTAATCACTTAATGAATGAATTTTGAACACTAAATTGGGGCAGTGGCTGAATTCTTCTGAGTGATTTGTGAGTGAGTTGTTCTTTGTGATTCATTAATACATCTCTGAGCAAAAGGTATTATTTTAAATTGTTTTTAATAAATCATATGCTCAAAGTATGGCTTTTAATGATGTAAATATAGCTTCATCATCTGCTAACTAATTGAAGAATTTAGTGGCAAAACCGGCTAACCCATACACAAACATTTCGAACGTATGAGCAGCAGTACATTTGGAACAGGCGTTTCAAGAAACTTCAGCCACACCACTAAGCCATTCTCAGAAACCAATTTATTAAGTTGTATTAAAGCTGTATTCACAAATACAGCTTTTACTAATTTTCTTGAAAAACAAAAGTCATTCAGTATCAATTGACTACCTTATGAACAACTATAAATCAACAAATAACAATAAATTTTTAATTCAGAAAACAATTATTTTTATTTTTATAAGGAAATATCATATTGCTATAATTATACACCTGCATATTTTTCCTCGTCCAATCACACAGAAAAATCACTGCATGTAAGGAAGGACAATAATGACATTAACTGGGGAAGTAGAAATCATATATTCTATTATCCATGTATCACACATAGTAGAAACCAAATATTATAATATCACATTTACAACTATTACACATTACAACTTTATCATCTTTACAACTATATCACATTATAATACAATTTTGAAATATTAAAACATTTTTTTATAATAGAAAAGAGAGATGAGAACTGTAACATACCAAAAGTATTTCTTGCTTGTTAGAAAATGTTCAATTACTATTTAGCAAAAAAATGATGATTCAAAATAAAACTAAAATATGTTGTAGAGATAGAGAGAGTGGTGAATACAAGTGATACTGTAAATTAAAATATGTAATGTTATTAGATTTGCCATCATGAGCACATGAGATTTAGGCCTTTTGATCAGTTTCTTTTAATTTTTCTAGTATTCTTTCCAGATATTCCTACTCTTTCCAGGTATTCCTCGCCTTCCTGGTGTTTTCTAGGTCAGCTTGGGTCTTTTCTTCCTCTTGGCTTCTAATGTAGTACGGGAAATAGATCTTTCTTCACTCTTTTCATATGTTCTCACAACGTCCATTGGTCTTTCCCATTTTCTAACCAGTTTGTTAAGCTATCAGTTTTTCTCAACTCTTCTCATTTCTTAATTTCTCTATCTTTGAAATTTTCAAAATTGATCTAAAATATCTCATTTGAACAGATTTGATTCTATTGTAATCTGATTTAGTATCCATCTTTTCCAACAATATAATTTGGTGCATTTTGCAATAATATCGAGTAGCCTTATCTTTGCTTCCATATTCATATTTTGGAAGTTTATTTTAATGCATCTATAAATTTTATTGAATTTTGTTAATTTTAATTAATTAATTATTAGTGATATTTTTCCTACTTTGTATCCTACTTTGTAGTAATTTGTATATCCTACTTTGTAGTAATTTCTTTGAAATGTGCCCATCCATATTTTGAATTTTAATTTTTGGATCTCTATATAAACACATTGCTTCTATTAGATTATATTCAATTTTCTCCTTAGAGGGTTTTCCATAAGTTTTCAATTTACCCAATTTACCCAATAAATAATGCATTGATATCCTCTCTGTATGCTGTAATATCTCCCAGACGGCCAAGAATCAAATGAAAACAATTTTTTAAAAATCTTAATACATTGCAAACTGCTTGCAATTTGTATTTAGAACTTTAGAATACAGTCATATTATTTTAACCTGCTTCCAACAAATTGTTTTGCATTAAATAATAATAGAATATATTATTTAGAAGACACCTCTCCCTGACTTGGTGCACAAAAGGGCCCAATCAAGGGGAAAATTCCAGAAGATTTTTCTTAACAGTTCTGTTTTTTGTGGTTTGTTTGAATCATATGTTTGCCATTTCAAAAAAGGAGCAAAGAAAATTGCAAAATATTTTGCACCTATTTCATTTTGTGCTCATATTGCTAAAACTCTACGTATCAGCAAAATATCCACCATTAGCAAAATTAAATTGACAAAAATTTTAAAAAATGAACAAATTAAAATTAATTTTCTGAAAGTCAAAAAACAGCCAAAAAAAACTTCTTGAATTTTTTCAGGAGAAAAGGAGAAAAGGAGAAAAGGAGAAAAGGAGAAAAGGAGAAAAGGAGAAAAGGAGAAAAGGAAAGGAGAAAGGAGAAAAGGAGAAAAGGAGAAAAAGGAGAAAAGGAGAAAAGAGAAAAGGAGAAAAGAGAAAAGCAGAAAAGGAGAAAAGGCAGAAAAGGAAAAAGGAGAAAAAGAGGAAAGGAAAAGGAGAAAGGAGAAAAGGAGAAAAGGAAAAAGGAGAAAAGGAAGAAAAAGGAGAAAAGGCAGAAAGAGAAAAAAGGAGAAAAGGAGAAAAGAGAAAAGGAGAAAAGGAGAAAGGAGAAAAGAGAAAGGAGAAAAGGAGAAAAGAGAAAAGGAAA